AAGTATATATATATACATATATATTTCCATTGCATATATAAAAGTTTCTATTACTTGTAGTGACACTTTTTTACTTACCTTTCATATAAAACCTTATATATGTATATACATATATTAATTTTATCATATTTTATTTATATTATACATCCATATATATGTGTATGATAAATATATTAAAATATATTTTCAATCATTTCATATCAAAATGTTTTCAATTGCCTCATATACATGTGAAAGGTGGACAATGAATAAGGACGACTTCAGAAGAAAAAGTGAAAGAAAATTCAATACACTTGAATTTTGATGTTGGCAAGGGAAATAATTGGCAAGGGAAAACTCTGAAAGAACAATCTGTCTTGAAAGAGGTGGAGCCAGATATTCCCCAGAAGGAAGGATGATGAGAATTCATGTCATCCACTTTGGATACGTTATTAGGAGACACCAGTCCCTGGAAAAAGGCATCACACTTGGTAAAATAGAAGGTCAGCAAAAAAAGAGAAAGTCTCTCGGTGAGATGGACTGACCCATGGCTGCAATAGTAAGCTCAAATATAATAGTTGTGTCAACAGTGCAGACAGGAACATGTTTCATTGTGTTCTACATGGGTTTCTATGAGCTGGAGACAACTCAATGCAAAATCTGAAGCTAATGTTTTTCAACATATCTCCCATCTAGATCTACATACATCTGAAAGACACACACCTCTCTGTCCTTCCACAGATAATTCTCTTCTCTTCAACTCAAAATGGTAATTTTGGCATCCCTGAGGGACTAAAATTGTGTTCTTTTCAATATTCTTTGAGTTTGAGGTACAAAAAAATGTCTAAAGCAATGGTCAGGGCTATAGGGTGGGGACCATCATTGAGAGTCTCAGAGTACAGCCCTTGTACCTTTGAAGAACGAGCAGGCTCATAGGGGATAAAGTCTTTGGTGAAACTTTCCTAGCTTTTCTCTCATCAGTGCAGTTTTCAAATCTCGATCAAGGGCAATGTAACCGAGAGGAATTACTGAAACCCAAATGAAGGCCGAACATGATAGTGGGAAAGAGGGAAATAAAAGGAAATAGAGGAAAGAACTAGGAGGCAAAGGGCATTTATAGAGGTCTAAATACTGGCATGTACATATGTAAATATATTTATATATGACGGTGGGGGAATAGATCTATGTACATATATTTACAGGTTTAGTATTAAGGTAGAAAATGGGCATTTGGCCTCTACTCAAGTACTCCTTGAACGCTAGAACACTTTGTTCTATTAACCTGCATTCCATGATGTTCACCTTCCTGACACGATCACTGAAGACAAAATAGGTGCATATGCAAATGTGTTGAAGAAAGCTGATGGTGCCCAGCTATCAAAAGATATAGTGCCTGGGGTCTTAAAGGCTTGAAGATAAACAAGTGGCCATCTAGCAGAGAAGCAACAAAGCCCACATGGAAGAAGCACACCAGCCTGTGTGATCACGAGGTGTCGATAGGATCAGGTATCAGGCATCAAAGAACAAAAATTCATATAATTGTGAATGAGGGGGAGTGTGGAGTGGAGACTCAAAGTCCATCTGTAGGTAACTGGACACCCCCTTACAGAAGGGTCATGGGAAGGAGACGAGCCAGTCAGGGTGCAGTGTAGCACAGATGAAACATACAACTTTCCTCTAGTTCTTTGATGCTTCCTTCTCACCCACTATCATGACCCCAATTCTACCTTAGAAATCCAGTGGATGTCCACTGGTACAGATAAGAGCTGGAAATACACGGAATCCAGGACAGATAAACTCTTCAAGACATATAATGAGAGTAGTGATACCAGGAGGGAAAGGGAAATGTGGGGAGAGATAGGGGGGCGGGCAACCACAATGATCTGCATATAACCCCCTCTCTAGGGGATGAACAACAGAAAAGTGGGTGAAGAGAGACATTGAACAGTGTAAGACATGAAAAAAAAATTATAAATTATCAAGGGGCAGGGAGGGAAGGAGAGTGGGGGTAGGTAGGGGAAAAATGAGCTGATACCAAGGGCTCAAGTAGAAAGCAAATGTTTTGAAAATGATGATG